GAGCAAGCTTCTGGCTAGGGTCTTGCACACTTATGGTATTGTGAATGGGCCTCTGGGTGTTGCTTGTGTGCTGGTGAAGCTCTTTTCAAGGTGGGCCCTTGGCTTGGGCCAGAGTGCCCCAGCTTCTGGGGTCAGGGTGGAGCCCTGGCTGGACTCTGCTTGCAGCTGTGCTGCTGTGGTCCACACCGCTGCTCCCTCAACTAAGGTGGTCTGGTGTGCCTTTATTGCAGAGATTTTCTTCACTTTTCTGGTGGGCTTTAATTTTCATCAAGGGGCCTCAGAGAGGCCCTTTCTGTTGTTCACTTCTACCCTATCTTCTCAAGCTCAGAACAATGTCCTTTATGACCCCTGCAACTCTGTGGTGTGGATCCAGGTAATGGCTTGGCACAGCTGCGGGGGAAGTGTGTGCTGGTGCCCCATGGCTCACCTCCTTGGTGCTCTGGGGCGGTGGTATGACAGCCTGAGATGCTCTCCTCCTTGACCTATTCCTTATGCTTTTGTTGTCATACTTAAGGGTTTGTCTAATACAAGGTTTGAGTTATTGTTCTATCATCTTTCATGAGTTTTATAGTTTATTTTCATTTATTTTTACTGGGAATTGAACCCAGGGCCTTCACACTGAGCCACATCTCTAGCCTTTTTTATTTTGAGACAGGGTTGTGTTAAGTCACTAAGTTGTCCAGGCTGGGCTCAAATTTCTGCTCCTCTTGCCTCGGGCTCCCAGATGCTGGGATTAGAGGTGTGCACCACCATGTCTGACTCTTAATTTTTTTTTTAAATGGTGTGAGGTAGAGGGTCTAAGTTCATTCTTTTGCATATGGATATCTAGTTGTTCTAGCACTATTTACTGAAAAGACTGCTAATTGTCCCCATAATTGTTTTGGTACTTTTACAAAAAATCAATTGGCCATAAATACAGACTCTAAATTCTATCCTATTGATATGTCTATTCTTATGCCAGTACTATACTTTGGTACTGTAGTTTTGTAGAAAGTTTTGAAATAAAAAGTGTATCTTTCAACTTTGTTCTTTTTTCAAGACTATTTTGAATCTCCCAAATTTCCTATGACTTTTAGGATTGGTTTGTCCATTTCAGCAAAGAAATGAGCTGGGATTTTGATAGGGAATGTGTTTAATCTGTAGATCAGTTTAGGGGAATACTGCCATCTTAACAACATTAAGTCTTCTGACCCATAGACCTGGGATGTCTTTCCATTTATCTGTCTTCTTTCTTTCAGCAACATTTTATAGTTTTCAGAGTATATCTTATAATTCTTTAGTGAAATCAATTCCTAAGTATTTTATTCTTTTTGATGCTATTATAAATTATTTTATTTTTGTTTATGGCTTACTCATTGCTTCTGTATAGAAATGTAATGGAATACTGTATCTTGTAAATTGCTGTTTAATGGTTCTCCAACAGAAAGATGGGTTGGCAACTTGTTGTTTTATAGAATTGCCTTACTGTTTGTTCCTGCATACATCTGTGATCTCAAGGATCTGTAACAAAAAAGCTGGGTCACTGAGTTTGTGTATCTTCAACTTTGCTAAATATTTTTAAATTATTCTATAGTTCTTCAGCTTTATGTCTTCAAATGGCTACAGAAGTCCCAGTATAGTTAGTGTTTAATAGCAAGTCATTTTGCATGGCCCTGTTGGGTTAAGATACCCTAGTCCTGGAACTCAGGTTCTGGCAGGACTTAACCTAGTAAAAAGCCATACAGTGGATGCCATTAACTGTCTGTTAACCAGCTACTTTGCAAAATGTGAGACTGAGGCGGCTTGACAGATGGTGGTGTCTAATCAAGACAGTTTGGATGAACCTCACAATTGACCTGAGTTAATCAAACTAATCAGTTGTATTTGTAAAGTATCTGAACAAAGGTGGAGACTTTTATGTACTATGTCTATAGAAATGTTGCCGTGGGTTGAACGTGTGTCTCTCCAAAATTAATGTTAAAACTTAATCCCTAATGCAATAATACAGTATTAAGAAGTGTAGCTCTTGGGAAGTGATTAGGCTCTTACAAATGGCTTGAGGGAGTCTGTTGGTCCTTTTCGGCTTTCTGTCCTTCCTGCCATGTGAGGTCACAGCAATGATCCCTTTCTCTAGGTGAAGACACAGCAATAGGGCACCATCTTGGAAGCAGAAGTTGGACTGAATCTGTTTGCACCTCTCAGGCTAGAACTATGAGAAATTTCTGTTAATATATTATTCAATCTAACCATCTTGTTAGAGGCTGAACAGACTAAAATGGTCTGGGTTTTAGGTTTTCTGAAGCTGAGTCTCAAATCTGTGCTGTGCTGACTTTGTGATAATTACCCTCTTGGTCCTTAGTTTATCTGTAAAGTGGGGATAATAAGAGTTTCCGCCTCAAAACTTGATTAAATGAGGTGATACAAATTCAGTGTGAGACAGAGGGGCTGGCATAAAGCAGCATTTAATATGGATTTGGTGCTGTTATGTCTCCAACCATGTTTCTGTTCATTGGCAGAGTGCAACAGGAGCGTGGGGAGAAGGGGCTTATGGCATTCGGTCCCAGAAGCTTTCTGGTACCCCACTGTAGCCTCAGTATCTTTGGCAAATTTAGTCCTGACTAACCTTCCAAGTTGCTTAGTCATAATTTAAGCAAAGAAAATAAGGCCAGCTCTGCAGACCTCTAGTGCTTAAAAACTATCGTCATAAAGCTGTTCTAACTGCTCTCTGTCCAGAGAACCACCTGTGCAGATGAACTCTGCTTGCAATTCTGCTTAGTGTGACTTGAGAGTCTATTCTGCCATGAGTGAGAAAATACACCAAAGCTCTCAAAGGCCTGCATCTGAATCTCTGAATCACTTTATAATTTTAATGATTTACCTGAATGAGAGTCCCTCCTTACCATCAATTTTCATCTTTGGACTGGACAGTGCCAGCATTTAAATTGTTCAGGTTCTGGATGCTTTTGACAGGCCTTCTATACATGCACCAGCAGCAGAAGGACACTGTGGATTTGTCACCTGCAGGGTCACCACCAACAGATTTCCCATAGGAATCATCTGCGACAGTTATACCCAACAAACAGGGCATTCAAAAAGTTGATGAGTGCCCTTGTTTCCTGTCTAATTACATAGTGCAGCTTTTATACTAACTTGTTATTAAAATTAACACAAGGGTATCAAAGATATCAAAGTGAGGCTTCTTTCTGAAAGTTAAATGAAATTAAAATGAGTATCCATTAGAGATAGAAGCTGCTTGTAGGAGACATCAAGGAATGATGTTTGTGTGACATGGGAATGCTTCAAGGGGATCATGTGACCAGGTAAAACTGTTGGTGACATGTAGTGTACATCCTGAACTCCATCATCTCTTGGTTTTATGCTGGCGTTTTAGTATAATGTGGGCTAGGTCTCATTCACGCAGTCATCAGTAAGTATGTGAATGTGTCTTTCGACAAATGCTTTGGTATTCATCTTGATTCCAGAGCCAGTAGGCTGCAGAGGTTTACAAACTTACGTAGTGACTCTGTCCAATATGTGAAGAGCTTTCCTAGCTTTGGTATTACTAAGGAAAAAACTTTGCAGAAGATTCTATACCCTTCAAGGGGTGGAAATCCTTGAGAGCCCACCATCTCCCACCCTTTCAGGTTGATCATCCCTGTACTTCCTTCATGGATTCTGTTCTGTGGCCAATCTCTAGCACCTTGCCTTTTGCATAGTGCACAGCAGGTTAGGACCAGGGAACTGACTTTGCCCAAGGGGTCAACTCCTGAGTTCCCTGCTACATCCTTTGCTTGCTCTTGGAACCCTCAGAATCCTTTCTGTGCTGGCTCTGGTGCCTTTTTCTCTGCCATGAATCATGTCCAGTGTCTCTCCCATTGGGCAAGATCTCTGTTAACACAGGAGATGTTACAAATGTCTTGGCCCTAGAAACATCATCTACTTACTGGTATGTCAGGTTGCTCTCTTGTACCCTAAATGTCATAGATAATGTTACGTAATCAACTGACTTCTTTATCCCCTGTGACTGATACTCTGCCTATTTTCTAGGTTTAGTGCTATCAAAGTTATAGTTGTCAGTCATTATTATTGTTTTGTTTCTTCCAAGCAAGGAAGAAAACATGGTATTCTATTTTAACCATAGGCTTTCTGGTCTATGTTAAATGCCATCTTTGAAAACAAAACAAAACACAACACAACAAACAACCCCCTTCCTCAAACCCTCAACCAAACAAAAAACTTACGTGAACCGTAAAGGCCATTTTATACGGTCTATAAAAACACCTTATATAAACATTTGATTTTGAAAGCTGGTTAAATTTGAGGACCCAGTTTTGGGTCTTTCAGAAATTGTAGTGGTACATTTATTACCATCAGAAGGTGAGTCAGGGGCCAGGGATTTAGCTCAGTGGTTCTGTCGCCTGCCTTGCAAATGTAAGGACCCGAGTTCAATCCCCAGTACCAAAACAAACAAACAAAAACCAAGGTGAGTCAAATATATATAATTATAGTCTGCCAAAGAAATGTATACGTCAGGAAAAGAAAAACTTGTATAAATATTTTAGTACTAAATTTACTAAGACATCATGAGATTAATACAAGTTACCTTTGGCCTCTAGAATTATAAGGGTGCTCAAAATGGTGGCCATTAGCCTCCAGACATTCACTAGAACAGTATTGGCAAACTGCTGAAGTGTGTATACATTTTTTTGGCAGACTCTGTATCTATATATATAATCAATCTCTAGGGAGAAAGAATGTGACTCAACTGTGAATCTTGACATGCTCTATGTCAGTGAGTACCTGTGAGTTTGTTCTGTATGTCATGGTTCCAGACTGGGGAAAGATGGCTACTTACATGTGATCTATAAAACCTGCCCTGATGGTCTGCTTGCTTTGCCCAGTGACTCTGCTAGAGTTGTGTTCTAAAGCTCGTGTTTCCTCCTGGATCTGTCCCATCCCACAGGTCTGCAGAGGCCCCCTCACCCACGGGATGTGCTCTTTCCTCTGCACAGCAAAAATTGTTATACATCAAAATGTTTTTTTATTTGGAACACAAAAATGCAAAATCGCTGAGATATCAAACATTTCCCGATCATCTACGATACTGCCACTATGTACAAAAGATCTGATGATAAATGTGTACACATATAAAAATACAGTATGCATTACCTATGTACAGTACATGTGCAAAATGTATGGCATTCAAACACGATATGGAATTGATTCCAGGGGTGCAAACAGCAAATACAAAGGCATCATGGTTTTTCTTTTAAGAAACAACATAAAGGCAATACATGAATGGACCCCCCGATTGCCATAACTTTTTATTTATTAAACTAGTGCTTTTAACAAGCAGGGCTCTGAAGATTGGTATCTTTCTCCTCTTTTTCATAAAGTGAGATGCTAAGACATAATGTGACAATGAAAATAAGAAATACCTATCACATTGCATTTCTATTTCAAGCAAGAAAACTAGTTTCTACATAGAAAGGGAAAAACTGTAATACTACCAAATATGTATTATTCTTAAACCAACAAAACAACTGTATACTATTTTACATGAAAACAATAGAGGAATATCTACATCTCTGTGAAAATTATAACTTTAAGTGGATAATACCTTTTTTGGGACTGATTTTTGAGATCTCATTAGTCTCAAATTTTAAATAAAAAGTGCCTCCTTTTGGCAAATACTTGGCAATGCCTTTGGTTCCTTTAAAGCATTTTGCATTACTATTGGTTACTTGAGGTCAGGTACTTTTGGTAGATACTAAATCCTTTCCTAAATGCTTCCACTTCCTACCAAATTAACAATATTCCTTGCTGCAAAATGTAGAGAGGTAATTGTTCTGCCTTCGGTGATTCTCTAAACTTTGTTAAAGCTTTGTCTTAGTAGTTGGCATGAAGCTCTGTTATGTACTATGGCTGTGTCGACATCTCCAATAACAGTTTACTTGATTCTCGACAGCACCTTGTAGTTCTCAGACTGCCATCCCGTTGTCTCAAAACTGTGATATTTTTCAATCATGGTTCACAGAGCAATGTATGTGCATGGAGAATAAGAGCTCTTCTGTAAACATGTGCAGCTTTCTGAATTACAGGCCTTCAACAAAAGATTTCAAGTAGAAACCCTTTGAAATGGTGCATTTCCTCAGATACTGTAAGGCGGCTGAGTGGGGAATAAATGTGGACCTACTTACTGCCAGTAGTCAGTCATCTACAAATAAAAACACAGCCAAGAAAGATAGTTCAATGAGCAAATGATTGAAGGTTTGAACAAGGAAAAAAATTACTACATCCTGTTTTCCAGTTTTGACTGAAATCACTTAAAAGCTCTGCTGAAATACAGTTAGGATGCTCTCCAAATACACAGTAAGCTGGTAAGCTACGTTCCTTGGTTAACCTGACCTTCCAGTTAATGTTCTTGGATCATCTGGGGCTAACTTCACGTCCTATAGGGAAGTGGGTCAATTTGTGCCGGTATTTAGCATTCATATGCATAATGACAATAAGTTACTTGTGAATTTGGTTACCCTAACCTGTGTTCTATTGGTACAATGAATTGCTATTCTCTTTACATTTCTCTAAAGTCCCTAGCAGTGCCAGCTCCTCACATGACTGACAGCCAGGTGCCCCTGAGGCCAGCCACTACTAGGGCCTGCAGAAGTGGCATGAGGGTAATGCTTAAGTGTGGGCTCCTCTCAGATTATTTTCAACCCTGCCAAATGCTTTGCCTCTTCTCTAAGGCCAAATCTATTCCAAGACAGGAAAGAGATTGCCCTGTCACTTTTGGGGACAGCTGCTTTGTCAGCTGTTGTGGTTGGTTCCCGCCTGGGAATTCTGAAAGGACCCTGAAGAAAACTGTGTTGCCTGGAATGATCAGGGGCTGAGGGCAGAGGAAGCCTGAGTCAGCTTTGGTGACAAAATGGGTAACATGCTCTCATGTGTCACTCAGTGTCCGCTGACTACACAGTTCAGTGGTGCTATCTTATTTCCATGACTTTGCCTTCCTGAAATGCAGCCCTGGGGCAACACCAGACTGCCTTTGCCCCAGTTTCTAAAAAACCAGTAAGTGTCAGTCACACCAATCAGAGCCATGCAACTTTTAAAAAGTAAATTTAAACATGACCTCTTAGTATTACTAAAATATTCATATGAAACAAACACAAATAGTGTCTGAGCAAAAATTTCAGATTCAGAATATATCTGTGTTCAGTTATGTAGCAAATCCTATTACATAGATAAAACATTTCAGGAAAGCACTAGAACATGAACTGCTGACACTGTCCTAAGAGGCTTCCTAGAAGATGGATGCTTTACTCTAAGATGCATGAGATGCCCACATCCCCCTACACTTCCAAAATTTTCTAGAGGCTTTAGTGTAATTCTTTGTATTCATCTCACCTCCAATAAGATGATTTGATACCTATATACAGTAAAAGAAAAGGTCAATACTGCCGTGTTTTGAGAATATGCAGGGAAATAAGACTGGGGTGTGACATAATACATTTCTTGGAGTTATTTTCTTGGCAATAAGATACTCTGCAATATAATACACAATAGTGCCACGTCTAAACTACACACATGCATAGTGAAAATTCAACTGGCTATTTTGACTTGTGCTTTAATGGCTGTGAAACTAACCCTAAATAAAAAGTCACCTATAGTAAACACCCTTTCCCATTGCATTTACTGAGGTACAGAGTTAGGTTAAAGGGCCTTGTTGACAGAGTATGGTCTTTGGTCATGTCACATGCATGCCTGGAACACAGGGTGGGTCCTGGAGAGCAGCACTCATGTCACAGGTATCTGCTGGTAGCGGAGAGGGGCCACATGGAATGGTGCAAGTGGGATGGTAGCTGTGGGTTCACAGCTAGAGATTCTTCACTTTCTAAACAACGAGGGTGTCAGTGAATGCATGTGTCAAGTGGGCACTTCAGCCTGCTCTCTCTGACTGAACTGCCAATGAGATGGCATTCTCCACATGGCATTGTGTTTTTGGAGAGCAACCTTCCTATGGCATATCTCAAAACCTATCTTACAGTAATAAAGGGACCCAAGGACTAGAACATTATCTATGCTTACAACTCAGAATTGTGGGAACACTGGCCTCTTCAACACAAGTTAACAGCACTAGATGCTCAGTTGCCTCCTGCAGTCCCACTGATATTTACTGCTAATTTAACAAGCCGTTCAAATCTGAATCAACAGATGCTCACAGACTCTAAGTATGGACCTGACAACCCCAGACAGAAGCCCTCAGCCAAAACCCAGCGCCAAGACTTGCCATTAGAAAGTCCCCTTCCTTATCAAACATCTGTGCCTTGGAGACAGCCCTGTCACTGGGACTGAGGCTTCGCTCACCTCCAATGTGGTAAGCCTGTGTTGGGCTCGGTCGGGTGACAGTGTTCTGGTTAACAGAGTTTTTACAGCCAATGCATTGGATTACCAATGTCTAAACACTTAAAACTACTCACTGCTGAGCAAAGAAGCCTCATGTTTGGGAGTCATGTGAGCACTGTTAGCTGCTGGAGCCTCAAGTGTCAATCAGTAAAGGGCCCCAGTGTGCTCATGCTGGAAAAGCAGACTTTTTGTCACATGTAAAATTTATAAACAACAAAAAATTGGAAATAATATCACTTTTAGGCAAAACACAAACCCCAAATAATTCACAAATTCTTTCCAAACAATGGGTCAGTGCAGCCAGCACAATCACTGGAACATTAACTATTAGTGATTCAGGGATTGATCTGACTCTAAGCTTTAAGCAAGAGTAAAGTGGAAAGCATGGTATTATTACTTAATAAAAATATCCACGCTCCTTTGGAAGATTTCAGTTTTGTTCATTTACATTTTGCATATACTTCAATGACTAAATTGAAATAATGTTGGAAACCTTATGGTTGGGATTTTAGAAAATTCATCAGAAACTACTCAACAAACGTAACTTTTTCCTATATAAAAAAACTAATAAAATGTCCAGTTTTTAATCTTAGGCTGATAACACAGAGTATGGGAGGATATCCAGTTACAGGCCTGCTAAAGGAGAACCAGGGGTCTGCGACAGAAAAGGTCAGCCAACCTCATCTGGGCTCAGGGTGGGGACGTCCTGGGCTCACGACAGGCTTTCCCTTTACCTCTTACTCTCCTACCTCACTAGCTCAGGAAGGTATTTCATGCTAAAACATGTTTCTTGATTCTTTGAGATGGGTCTGGTTACCTGAAAGTTAGTCAGCAACTCTTTTATAGAAAAAAATGCATGTGGCTCAAGTACTCTAGAAACATTGTGAGTTGTTAGAAGTCGGACCATTGTGTGTCCATTTCCTTATCCTGATGTAGGCTGTACAGCTCACCATGTCAGAGTGTACATACCAATGTCTGATATACACAGGAAAACCAATGTAAGAAACCCAGAGGGCTGCTAATAGAATTTTCAGTGTTATCAATATACCTGGACTTTTTACAGTGGGTTGTGTATGACATCTGGTTATGGTGAAATATCTTTCACTTAAATTTGGAAATCTAAAGTAAGATTCCAAAAATCACAAAATAAAATATAACACAAAAAAATCACATAGGTTTCTGAATGGAACCCAAAGTCTTCAGCTGGAAGATGTCACTGCACTGGCCAGCTCTTGCCACTGGCTCTGACTTCTGCTGTACTTTGGCCTGGCTCAGGCTCCTCTCGGAAGTGCCACATGCAGGGACCTCTCATGGCCCTCACAGCAGCCTTGTTTTGTGAGAGGAGTTATCTGCCTGTTACTTAGGGTCATTAAGTGACCACACAGGTGTAAATGTAATTGATTATCAGGGAATCCTAGTGTCATTTTCCTGCATACATTACTCTTCTTATGTTTCTATCTAAAAGTACTTTTGTCATTCTTTACTGCAGTCTGGCGAAACAGAGGAGTCTTCTGGGACGAGTGTATTTTTCAGAAGGCCCTGTGCTGTATTAAATTGCAGAAACTCACTGCTGCATACAGTGAAATGTTTTCAAACTTGGTTTCCAGGCTATGACTTTCCATCCAGGACAACATATTTTGATTGCAATAATGCAACTACGTAGCTATCTCTAAAAACTGACCTCTCAATTCTTGTTCTGAAACCTCATGAACTCTGGGACAAGCAACCTGTGATGTTAGTCCCACGGTAATGGTAGATCCTGCGGGTCTAGAAAGTCAGCAGAGAACATACTTGGTGCAGTGGCGCTGAGAGGAGTGAGTCCTGAGGATGTGTTGGGCATGGTGATGTCCAGCCACTCCATGTTGTCCAAGTTTGAGTCTGAAAGGTCAAGAGACAGACAAGGAGTACCTGCAGCAAACTGGGCCTCAGAAGTCTCCATGGGTGAGTGTGAATGGTCCAGCATGCTGGAGTGGCTCAGCAGGTCATTCTGGAGATCTTCGATCAGAGAGAAGGGCTCTCTATCTTCACTGCTGCTCTGTAGTGGAGCAATTTCATTGGCTGAAGGTAAAGTTCCATCCAAGAAGGCTTCTAGTTGGTTCTCTAAGCTGGCAGATAAACTGCTCATAGGTTCTAAGGATACAGGTGGTGCCATTTGGACTTGGGGTGGTGGCCGGGACACCACTGTGTTGACTGGCATTGTGGTGATGCTGGCTGTCACTGGTCTCATTTTGGAAATTGGAGAAGGCTCTTCTTTTATAGGAAGAGAAATCTCTGTAAATATAATTAAAGTAACTAGTAAATATTTACTACCATTTAAAAATTTTTATTACTAGGACATTTATTTTGCTATTTTGTGACTCTGGGCACTCTCATCTTAGAGGTAGAAAAAGAATGGTATTGGTTGGGTATAATCCTTGATAGTCTTTAAGATGATGGATCATTTTAGTTAAACTGATAAACATATATGTTTCTTATACTCTGATGTGCTCCCAGTTCTTTACAGTAAGACTAAGCATTAAAAGCAGTTAGGTCCCACCAGGTTGGGATCAATGGTTTTGGACTTAGTCCTTGGGTCCTTATGCTCAGTCATGTAAGGCTTTAAGGTAGGGCTCCTGAATTGGCTATGGCAGCAGCATCAGACCCTTAAAGTGAACAGTATATCCTGAGTTATATCCTGAGTTCGGGCACAGACATAAAGTATATTCTTTTTTTAAGAGTAGGAAAAATTTATTCAGAGAAAGAAAGCTTCTGTCTCAGAGAGACAGAAGGGGGACTGGAAAGTGGGTTGCCCGCTCACCCAACTTCTCAAAGGTGTTTTATGGAACAAGTATATTTTTGATATTATGAAAAAGCTAATCCTCTTTTCTTTTTTAAAAAATCATTATAGTTGAACTGTGTCCCCAATTTAGCCATACACATTCTGTATAATGTTCTGGGAAGATATAACTCATCTTATTTAATATCTGAATTAAAGCTAATTAAGGCTCCTTTAACCTTTATAAGATAAGGTGAATCATCTGCTTGCTTCTTTTTTTGGTTTTCTGAGTTTATATAAACTCTTTCTTTGGGGGTGGGGTACTCAGGACCTTGCATTTGCGAGGCAGGCACGGTGCCACTGAGCTACATCCCTGGCCCAAATGAATTCTTAATAAGCACTAGTTATGTTATTCCTTGCCAGATCAAGTGGCAAATTAATGGACCATCTGCTATAGACACTAGTGCTCACTTAACTACATATATTTGATTAACCTAGCCTGTTCACTTTTATGAGGATATGACTGGTTTCATTTTTACATAGGCACATTAGGAAGAATTAATGATAGCTCTTAAAGGTTCAATGATTGGATGGTTAAATAAGAGAGAAAGAGGATTCCTTCTTTTGGGGGGCGGGTATTGGGGATAGAACTCAGGACCTTGCACTTGTGAGGCAGGCAGCGGCACCACTGAGCTGAATCCCTGGCCCTGAAAGAGGATTCCTATAAAGAACTGGTCACTGTGTGTACTGTATGTGTTTTTAGGAGTTTGTTACCTTTATCTGTAATCTCTAGAATTGTTTGAAAGCTTTAAGTGTAATCTAAGTAACTAGTCTTACAATCAACTATTTAAATGTCATCTCTCTTTTTTTTTTGGTTCTGGGGATTGAATTCAGGACCTTGTGCTTGGGAGGCAGGCGGCGGCACCACTGAGCTAAATCCTCAGCCCTAAATCTCATTTCTTAGTACTGCTAATAGTATACAATAAGATGAAGTAATACACTTACTGGATACTTTGTCCTAAGAAAAATCATCCCTTTGAGAAAATCAAAATTGTTTCATGACTTAATCACATTTCAATTTCCAAGTTTAGGCTATGAAATTTTCTTATTAATCATTTAAAGTCGTCTTTGGCAGATATAGCAAATTTTTAAAAAAATCCTAAAATCTGGGCATGGAATATCTTTGAAAAATGTCCAGTTTAGATATAATATGAGCTTAAAATATTTTTCAAAGTGAATAGAGTTCTTAGCAAAAAAAAAAAATACAGTATTTGCACATGAAGGTCTGTAGTCAAATATCAAGAATTTTCTGTGATGCCAAATGTTCTGAAACATCAACCTCAATATCAAACACCTGCCACAAATGGAGAACTTTCCCTCTCACTACCTAAAAATTCAAATAAAATTTCTTTCATCAGAGTAATTTAAATGTTCTTAAAATGATAGCCTTGGATCTGTGAGTGTGTGTGTAGGTGAGGGTGGTGCTCAGGACTGAAGCAAGAGCCTCACACATGCTGGCAAGTTCTGTACCACTGAGCTAAAACCTTAGCACTTCAATTCTTGGAAATACTGATTTTATACTTGTTTTTTAAAGGTATGTAAGCTATGGCAGAGATATACTTTGTGGCTAATATTTCTTTGTAAAACCATGTATTGCAAGTCTAAAATTTCATATGTAGAAAGCGTTTTAGCACTGCCTCTGAGTTTTATTACAGCAAGAGAGCCCAACTGGGTTAGTACAGAATTTAAGCTGGATTGGAATATTCTCATCTCACAATGACTGACAGGCAAATCTGGTTTTACTTTGTTCTTGAAGATGGTCTTTTTTTTAGAGATACAGCTATGGATAAATCTAACATTATGTTACTGCTTGACGCTGAATCAATGGGTTTTCCTACATTTACAGTCAGTTATTTTAATGGGCCAAGTTTAACAATGGTAAGTTGTTTGAATGAGATGTTTCTCCATACCTAAAGATAAGCCGTGAGCTCTAGAGAGAAACTCACAGAGCTGAGCGTGGTGGCGCACACCTGTCCTCCCAGCACTCAGGAGGCTAAGAGGGTGGCCAGGAGTTTGAGCGACGTGGTGAATTCATGTCTCAGAAAACAAAATCAAATGAACAACAAACAGACCTGTCATGGACTTGCGTTAAAATGATACTTTCTATAGGGCTGATGTGACCTGTGACCTACCTCCACTCTTTATGAGGATATCAAAGAGATCGTCCATCTGCTGACTGTGTGCATTGGAAATCTACAGCAAAGGAGAAAACAAGTTAGCTGTCTTTCATACAAACACAGAAGGATCATGCAATTGGGGCCACTAAGGGACTTCATAATTTAACATTTGATAATTTGGAAAACACTGAGGTCATTGAGAAGTTAGGTCATTTACCCGAAGTGTCACAGCTGGTTAGGTCAACTAAGAGCCGAATAAGAAATTAGTTCAGCTGACTCCTACACTTCCCTCATTTTTTATTGCTGAATTTTGAGAGGCTGCTAATATTTCAGAAGTATCTTTATTCACTTGCAGTTTGGTAAAAATTTTTTGTCTAAAGACAATCACAATGTAGTATGTGTATATATATATATATATATATTTTCTCAGCTTTGAGATTTACCTGACATATAATAAGCTGCACTTAATGTAAATTATCCAATTTAATGTTTTGACATGTATACTCCCATGAAACCATCACCCAAATTAAGATAATAAATACATCTGTCCCCCCTTAAGTTTCCCTATGCTCTTTTATAATACTCACCTCCTAGAGCCCCTCACTGACCTTCTTTCTTTCACTACAGGTTAGTTATATAAAATGGATTTATGCAATGGGTACTTTTTTTGGTGTAGTGGGGGGAACGGCTTCTTTTAATCAGTGTATTAAGATTTAATTGTCTTCCAAAGAGGTTGTACCATTTTCTTTTTAACTTGGGACCTTGCGCTTGTGAGGCAGGTGGCGGAACCACTGAGCTAAATCCCTGGCCCCGAGTTTGTACCATTTTATGTTCCCACCAGTAGTGTGAGATTTCTAGTTATTCTGTGTTCTCTCTTACATCTCATATGATCAGTTTTTACATTTCAGATATTCCATGAAGTATATAATGGTATCACAGTGTGGTTTTAATTTGCATTTCCCTGATAACTAAGGATGGTTTAAGTTTTTTTCATGTGCTTATTCGCCATCCATTTTTTTTCCTTGGTGAACTGTCTAAGTCTTTTGCCAACTGCAGATTTCTTAAGCTTACTGTTTGCATGGTATATCTTTTCTAACCATTTACTTTCAAACTCTCGTTATATTTAAAGCATGAGTCCTACAAATACATGGATTTAGTTATCTATTGCTGCATTAAAGATTACTCTGAAACATTTCAGGAGTTTAGAAAAGGCTTAGATGGGTGGTTCTGGCTTTCGGTACTCATGAGGGTGCAGTCCAGATGTTGATTTGGCTAAGTCAACTTCAAATTTGGTTGAAGAGCACCCCTAAAAGGGTGGCAAGCTCTGCTGCCTATTGATGAGAGGCCTCAGGTCCTCTCCACATGGCTGCTGGAGAGTTCACATGGCTTTTCCAGAGCCAGCAACTCAAGGGAGAGCACGGCCTCACCTCTTATGACCTAGTCTTTGAAGTCAGACATCATCCCTTCTGCCTTTTCTGTTCATTAGACATGAGTCACTAAATCCAACCCAGGGAAAAATGTCAAAGGCTTTGCAGACCCATTTTAAAAATATCACACAATATATAGCTGAGCCTGCTTTTTACCCATTCTGACAATTTAAGCATTTTCATAGGATTGTTTACTCCATTAGTGTTTACTATAATTACTGATATGGGTAAATTTGGGTCTATCATTTTATTTACTACTATCCCATCTGTTCTTTGTTGCCTTTTTTTCTGTCCTCAAAAATTTGGTTTTGGTATTTTTATTTATAGTTTTACTTTTTTGTTTTTTTGAGACACAGTCTCACTATGTAGTTCAGGATGGCCTTCAATACGCAGCAATCTTTCTGGCCCAGGCTCCCAAGTACTGGGATTACAGGCATATACCACACCAGGTCTGGCTTGTTTTTGGTATTCTAACTTAATTTTTCTGTTGTTCTTTGAAGCTATACTATGTTGTATTTTTCACTGTTATTGTACATATACAAAACATACTAAGTTTTCATAGGCTACTTAAGGTACCACTGCTTAAAAAATAGGGACTTCATAACCATATAGGTCCACTTATTTGCTCTCCTCTCTCATTTTCTATTAATATTAAGTATTATATCTATTCACATTATAAACTCAAGACAATGTTCTTTATCTGAAATTATCTTGAGTTTACTTTCATTCTTTTTTTTTTTTTTTTTAACGAGAAACTAATGACTTTCATTCTTCCGGGTGACAACCTCTCACCTTTTCCCTACTAAGAACTTTAAATCTGTTACATTCTTTTCTGGTTTCTATGGTTTTTGATGGAAAGTTGACATTAATCAAATAGTTATTTGTCCTGTGTGTAATACGTTGCATTTCTCTTGATGCTTTCAATAATTTGACTGTAATATGACTAGGGCTTCTATTTATGCAGCTTCTAGGCCATAAAGATGATAGTTTTTCAACCAGTGTCTCTGCCACTTAATTTGACCCCAGAGTAAAAGCAGAAAAAAGAGCAAACTTGTGCCACGTTACTTTCCCTCTGTGAGTGTAGATTCCCCACCAGAATGAATGTTTCTATTCACTCTTGACTACCTTCATATAGCTGCTTTTCTGAGCTGTTATCTGTGGGATGAACCAATGAATGAATGAACCATTATGGCCTTATTCAGCCAGTAGTAGAATTGGAAGTCAGAGAGAATATATTTAAAAAACAAACCTCAGAATTCCTGGAGTTGGGCACACAGTGGCACATGAAGAAGTATAGTAAGTCCCCGACTTACAAACAAGATCTGTTCGGGAGAACATTCAGAAGTCTGACAAAGTCTTAAGTAAAAGATGCACCCTGTTCACCACGTTTTTTCTTTTAAGTCTTCAAACAGGCTTTTAGCTTTTTCTTGAATAAGGATTAAGCTGAGTGGGCCTCAACGCTGATTCTGATCCTGCATCCACACTCTGAGAAGTTTCACTGTCTCGTCTATCACTGTACTACACTTTTTGGATATTATTGTTGACTTCATTGGCACAGAGGACTTCGCATGTTTTATGACCTTGTCTTTGTTTTTTTAGAATTGTCCCAATGGTTGAACAATTCATGTTATACAGATGAGCGATGTCTACAATCTTTTCACTTGGGTCCAATCTCTCCATTATTGTCACTTTTGTTTCCATGGTTATTGCTTTGTGCTTCCTAGCAGTCCCCTCCACATCACCACTGCTTTTCCTCTTGCTTCTGGACATCCTGGGCTCTGACTGACCACTGGACTACTGTACACTGTCCCACTGTACAGTGATCACACAGTAGCACCACTGGGACAATGTCCAGCAGACATGTAACCCACTTCTGTGATTTATTCACATCTATGCATGTTTGTAATGCGAGGTCTGTTCATATCTGTGAAAGCTTGCAACTTGAATGTTTGTAAGTTGGGGACTTACTGTAGTACAGATAGGTGTTCATTTGAAAACCACAAACTGATGCGAAACTTGTCTCCCTCATAAACATGAAAATATGAGGGATTCCAACTGGCTGTGTTGTGTTAAAGAAGATTCTTTTTTTATCTGAATCAAGGCCGAAGTACTAATGAACCTACGTGTGAGAACTGGATTTGGCAGGATGTATGCTGTCTTTTATTTCTGTAAAATCTCGAGTTAAGTGCTTGGTAATTCATTCCTGCTCTCCTATGTACAGAACAGATAGATGGACCAGGGGAACACCAGTTGTGCCAATTTCTATTGCAGATGATTAAACCTTTTTCTGAAATTTGGCTTTCCTCTCACAGATAAGGGTCCCTATGAAGTCAGGAACTAAGGAAATATTTGTGACTAGGAAAGCGGTCTTCCCTTGGGACTAAGTAAATATTAAGAAGCATAAATGGTAACTGCTTCCTCAGAGAGGCAGCCAACCATGGCCCTGAGCGCGTATCCTTGGTGAAGGTACCGAAATGCACACTGTCCCAGTTTCCAGTTCTACTGATGCACACTTAGGCTCCCGAGGAGGTCTAGGCAACCACCACGTGCCTATGTGTACGCCCTGCTTGAGGGGCTGGCTTGTCTGTTGTTTGCTGGAAAAAGCTGAGCCCCTGGCCCTGACCTTCCTTAGGTGTAGCATGACCCACTGCATGTAGTTACCATGTGGCCCCAATGGGTGACTTGGGGGAACAGGGCTGGGGGCACAACCAGGCTGATGTTCCTGCTGTTTGCCATAATACCCAGTCTTAGCTCCACTAAGTGCCCTGCTGTCATGGTTAGCATCTGTGCTATGAGGCTAGAGTCCATTCTTAAATGTAAGTTTAAGTCTGAAGATTTGAAGAGAACTTCAGAGGGGCAGGGAGCCTAGGAGGAGTGTTTAGGGAATGGATGACAAGTACTGCTACTATTGGGCATTTACTTTTATTAATAGGAACTCTTAACTCTCCCATCTGTTGGGATTGCTGCAGCTACTCCTGTTTTCTCAGTGAAACAAAGAAAGAAAGCTTAGAGGAAGGGTAAACACCTTGCCCGAGGCCATGGTCACTGGTGAGCATTAATTGTGGTGAAACCTGGAGAGCTGTAGATCTGTCACCTCCAAAATGCTCCTACCCAATCTATGCAGTCACCTGTGTGGGCTGGGCTTCAGGGACTACAAGAGATGAAGTGAGATCAAGTGGACTTCAGGGCTGGGCAGACTTCACTGACAGCCAGACAGAGGGGAGGGTCAGTTCACTTTGATGATGGCCTGACAAATAGTGGCTTTAGAAATGAGGGACTGCAATAAAATTTGTGCCCTGGAACAATCACATCTGCCCCTAGCATGACTGACTCCTTGTCCTGAAGGAAAAGTTAAAATCCAAACCCTGAATTTCTGAATAAGCAGTAATTACAGGTTATACTGCTATGGAAAGCTGTTTGGGATTCTTTACAATAAGTGACATTTCAATGTTAACCAGTTAAAATATGAAGCTCCTAGCTATTATCTTTGTGTTTCTACTTAGGCAAGTCAGTTTTAGACAAGTGAGTTAGTATAGGACTGGTCAAAATTTGCAGGGACACATGAAACATAAGCCTTAGGAACCACTGCCTCTGCCCTCACTTACCTCCGGAAGGGATGACTGTGCACTGCGTGTCTGCTTGATGGCTTCCTCGTAGCGGGGTGGGTCTTTCGTCTTGGTGACTGAAGTCCCAAACAGAGAGTGCTGGACAACAAACTGCTGGGGTGGTGGGGATGAGCTAGGCTGTCATACACAGAAGAGAAGCATGTGTTAGCTCTTGGCATGGACCTGCTCCAGCCTGGCTAGACTCAATTCTGCTGTTCTTCCCACAAGGGCTAAAGCTTGGAACTCACAAACAGCTTCCTTAAGCACCTGTGGCTAACCTCCGGTGGCCCTCTGTGTGGAGGGCTCATTTGTACGACAACCACAGCCGAGCTCCTCCTGATGAGGTGCCACCACTGTATTTAACTACATCCCCCATCAGTACTGGTACTCAGTCCCTCCCAGCCAAAAGCGCTCTGCTCCAGGTTGATGGCACACCCCAGTGAGCACTGTGGTGACACAGTGGTACCTTGCTGGAAGTGTTGGTTCCATTTTGCAGGGAGGGAAGTGGGGTGGTTCTGGACTGAAGAACGCTGTTGGAGGTCTTGGCAACAAAGGGCTGCTGCACTGCTGGAGCAGACTGTCTTGGATATGGAAGAACTGGATTTGGTGCTGAGCTTGTGAAAACCTGTAATGAATAAGCATTTATCCATCAATGTGTTCTTTTGCTCATCTCCATGTTTTATAGCAGGGCTCAGCAAAATTCTGTAAAGGGGCAAACAGCACTAGATTTAAGGTTTGTGGGCCATGTAGTCCCTTGTGGAAGTGCTCACTTCTGCAGCACAGATAATATGGAATAATGGGTGTGGCTGTGTGCCAGTAAACTATTTACAAAAGCAGGTGGTGGGCTGGGTTTGGCTTGTCCACCTCTACATTTTGAGCACAAGTGGCTCCTGTCTTTGGTGGCCGTGCAGATGGCACTGTGGAAGAGTGTTTGCTCATGATTTTCCTCTTAAATGACAGCTGGATTCTAGACATTCCTCACTAAGATGACCTCCTCTATTCTTGTGGCTTTAACAGTTAGGATAAGCTAATAACCCCCCAGCCCACCCTTCTACTTCCAGCCTGTGCCCAAGTGCCACATCTATATCCACATCATCCTCCTGGGTGTCAAACTCAGTAAGTTCCACACTGAACTTTCTCCTTTCCTCCCAGTACCCAGCCTTGGAGGAATAGCAGTTCTTGGTTTTGCTTCAGTTTTTCTTATACTCAGATGAATGGTACCAACAGGTGACTAACCACTTTTCCCACTTCCTAGAAACCTTTAGAGTTGGGACTCTGCTCTGGGCTGACCTAATCCGTCCTCACCATCCCACCGGCACTCTGCCAGCGCCCCTAGCTCCTGACGTCACACCCTGGCCCAGTACCCACCACATTTATCAGCTCTCTTACCTTCATCTGTCCATCTGAAGAGCTGCTTTCTGTTCTATAAGGCAGAGGTGAGACTCTCTCCCTGTGGAGTGCTAGGATGTTTTGTTTAGCTCCATCAAGAGCCTAAAGTTTTTGGGCCTTCTGAAATAAATACATGGCCATACTGCTGATACAGTACCGTGTTTCACAGACCTTAGTTTGTTCATAAAAATATTTAATAAATTCCTGTTACTGTTGGGTGTGGTGGTGCGTGCTTGCAATCCTAGCACTTAGGAGGCTGAGGCAGGAGGATTACCAAGAGTTTGAGGCCAGCCTGGACTATATAGCAAGACCCTGTCACAAATAAAACAACAAAACCAACTTTACAAGATTGATAGCCCCTATATTTTTATCATAAATGTTTCTAAGCATGGAAGTATATGTGTGTATACATCCTTCCAAACAGTACTACCTCTATGGATGAGGAGGAGCTCCTATTTGATAAAGTTGAATTTCCTTACGTTTCATAAAAAATTATTTTCTTTAAACTGGAAGTCGTGATTCCTGATTCTAGTATTTTGAGACTTGGTGACTAAGCCCTTACTTCTCCTGTCTATGTTGTTTTTCTCTCGTCCCTAACTCAAAGTACATTTATTAAACTGAGCTGTTCTGAAACTGTAATATACAACTATGTTTCCTTTCCCACTGCATTTATTAAGGGGCAGAGGGAGTTCGGAATGAGAGCACATGTGCCAACGTGATTGCTGCTGTCTTTGCCCAGACAGTTCAGACTCTCCTGAGGCACAGAGACAGGTGCACCTGATTACTAGGTTCTTTTCTGTTTAAGATGAAAACTCTGGGACACACAAGTTCTCAAGGCTTAAAATGGGAACACCTGTTTTTGAGGCCTGAAGATTTTTCTGGCAAGGAGATGTGCACATAGCTCCATCTACTGGATGAAAAGGAGTTTTGTTAACTTAGGGGCTATTTAATGTCAGAATTTGGGACAGGAAATCATGTGGAGGATGGTGGGTCTAAGGGAACACTTGGAGGAAGTGCATTTTGCAGGAGGCCAAGGATGGCAGAGGTGGTACACTGCCATGATCGCCTTCTGGATCCTGACCACAAGCTCTCACAAATATACACAGACGTAAACATCTCACTTGGGACAGCAATGTTGGAAGTATCTTTTTCATTTTCAAATCTTTTCTTTTCTTTTTTTTTTTTTGGTACTGGGGATCGAACTCAGGACATTGTGCTTGCAAGGCAGGTGGCAGAATCACTGAGCTAAATCCCCGGCCCTGAGAAAAGATACTTGAGATATTGAACAGTACATTTAATTGAAAATTTATTTTAAAACTCAGTAAATTCAGTATATGAGGATTAAAAATATACTTTTGAACACTGTACTTGGAAAAGAGGATTTACTATTAAGTTCAATAGTCTTTAGTACCAAAGAGCTCCTTCTCAATTCCAAATAAATGGCATCTGAACTTGGCTCTTTCTATGGCAGGTAGATCTTGGAAAAGAGACAACAGGGGCTTCCCAAGAAACAGGCTCTTGGGAAAATGCCTGGGGACTGGGTGAGCAGGTGACAGCTCTAATCTGTCTTTAGGAGCATTACCAACCTTCCTGACTTGCTGAGGCTGGCTGACCACATGCTGTGGGAAAGCATCCTGTTTCTGAGGTGCAGTGGGGGCCAGGCCTGAGGGCAAGGCTGCAGCTGGGACTGGCGTAGCAGTTGCAATCTGAGGCTGAGTCTGGATTCCTGCTTGTGGTGGAGTCTAGAAGGTAAACAGAAATCAATGTAATTGTCAGAAGCAGAGCTGGAATCAAGAGGTTAGGTGTAGAAGAGCTGGTCATGTGGGAATAATATCTAAAATGAATTAAGACAGGGCAGGGGATTTAGCTAAGTGGCACTGTGCCTGGCTCACAAGCACAAGGTCCTGAGTTTGATCCCCAGTACCAAAAAAAACAACAAAAAAGACAGTGTTTACAGATACATACTTCAGTATAAGTCTGAACCTTAGCAATTCTTTTTTAAAAAATTTAAAATTTTACCTGATATATAGAATGTAAGACTAAAAATATTAATGGGTTCCATGTGCTGTTTTGACACATGCATACAATCTAAAATATTTAAGTCATGTTAAATATATCTATAGCCTCAAACTTTTTTGGGGCGAGGGAGATGGGCTGCTGGGAATGGAACCCAGGGCCTCACACATGCTAGGCAAGCACTCTACCCTTGAACTATACTCCCAGCCCCCCTATTACTACTTTAAGTGAAAACATTACAAATTCTTTCTTCTATTTTTTGAAATATACAGTACATAACTGTTACTATAGTCACCCTACTGCAAAAGAACACCAGAACTTGTGCTCCTATTAAAAGAACAGTACCTAATACTTACTGATCAACCTCATCAATTCCTTACATGGCTAAAATTTTCATCTGAAAAGTTTAGGGAAAGAGAAAACTGAAATAAGAATGTATAGTGACTATATGTAATAGGTATTATAATACATTTAATAGCAACCAGGAATCACGTACTGTATATTCTCTGGGGACAGCCAGTAACATGCGAGATACACACAAGCCCAGGACACAATATATTTATAATACTACATCATCAACTCTAATATGAAACTTGGACCAAAGATATTTTTTAAAAGATAAGAGAGCAGACTTCCAACTTCACAGATACTTTACAAAAAAAGGGAGTTAGGCTTTTTGTACTTGCCAAGGGGCTTTAGGCCATGGCCTCCTAATCCCAGGACTGAGACTATTGCTCTTAGCTGTTAGAGGTATTTGGAAAATCAGGTTCAAAAACACTGGTCCAAATGGATTCTTGTTTAGTGGTCCACATTTGGTTAAAACTTACCGTAACTGCACTACACAAGAACAAGTTAAGGTGAATAACCAGGTTATGTGGACAAGTGGGAATTTCATCTCTTGCGTTTTATCTTTCAATAATACTTTCACTTTTAAAACTGTGGTCACGTTTTCCTTAGTTGAGGTAGTCTCATAATAATGAAAACTAAAACTACATAAAACTAAATTTAGGAGGCACAATATAAGAATGGGCTTAAAAGAAAACTCTGGAGTAAGAAGACCTGAGTTTAAATGCCACCTCTGTCCTTGGGGAACTTACTAAACCTTTCTAGTTTAGGTCTCAGTTTCCTTGTCCAGAAATGGGCTATATTAACTTAGATTTTCTGGGGAAGGCAGGTTGATGTGAAGCAAGCCACAAGTTCTTGATGCTATGCCTTCCACATAAAAAATGCTCAATAGCAGCAGCTATTATCATTATGATAATGGCACTGGTCTCAAGTGTCTACACATCTGAAACTGCAATGAAGGGAAAGAATGACAGAAATACAAAAGCACCTGTGCTTTTTTTTTTTTTTTAAAATATAAATACAGTGCTAGCTGTTTATTTTGGTCAGGGGAACTGGGCCTTGAACTCAGGGCCTAGCACATGCTGGGCAACTGCTCTACCACTGAGCTACGTTTCCAGCCCTTTTTAAAATTTTTGAGACAGGATCTCACCAAACTCCCCATTCTGGCCTCTAAGTTGTGATTATCTTGCCTTAGCTTCTTCTTAAGTAGCTGGGATTACAAGTATGTACCACCACACCTAGCTCATTTTTTGGACATCCATTCCATATGAACACACGTTTCCTACAACTTTGAAGCCCATAGTGGATGCAATTATGGAAAAGTTCAGGGATGATTCTATCACTGGCTATAAGGCAAAGTTATGAGACACACTTCCCACCTGGAGCTTGAGGCTGCCTACTGGGAGTTGCACTGATGTGACACTGGAGCCTTGGATAGACACTGGGAGCAGCAGCTGAGCAGTCTGTGTGGTCAGCAAAGCCTGGGGTGGAGCAACAACAGTGGGTGGTTGTCCTTGGGAGCTCACATAAAACTGTGAGACTACACTCTGCTGTTCTGCCTGGGCCACAGGGAGCTCTTGTTTGATTACTATGGCCTTTTTGGCAACAAGGGTCTGGGCACTGGTAGAGATGGGCTGGCCTACACAGTGGCCCGGTGCCTGGATAGGCTGCCGGGGGCTGGAGCATTCAGGCAGTGAGGCCTCGTCCTTGACGGAGGAACCAATGCTACCATGTTTCTGGTTTGATGTGCTGGCAGAATGAACAGGGGTGCTGGGCTGGGGTTCTGGTGGCCGCTGCTGCTGCTGCCCTCGTTTTTCAACTTCAAGTTGCATCTTCAGAACCTCCACGAGCTTCTGCTCTTGTTCCAGTTTTCGCTTTAGCTCTTCGATCTGCTTCTCCTTCTCCTGAAGCTTGCGATCTTTCTCAGCAGCATCTAGTTCCAGGTTTGACAGAGTGCTACTAGTGGGGCTCAGGCTGTCTTCGTGATTTGCCACTCTCAGGGGAGATGAACACAAGAACCGTGAGGGGGACATCATGGTCATAATCTCGGTGAAGGTGTCTGCCATGGTCGTATCATCAGTACTGAGACTAGACTGTTCAGAAGGTGACGGTGAGACTGGCAGAGGGGAATGAAGATTTTCGGCATGGGCTACGTTGCCAGGCACAGCAGATGGCATTTCTGCCTTGAAAGTGGGGACTGAGCTAGTCACAACATTGTGAAGTGTTGTGACTGGCAATGCCATGGTGACTTCCGGGTTACTGGTGACAATTGCTGATGATGACACTGTGACAATATTGCCAGCAGCAAGGCCACTGCTGTTCACCTCCTGGTAGGGTTTCAAGCGTTCAATGAGGTCCGGTTTGGTGCCTGACACTGGCAGACCCCTCAACTTCAGTTCTGTCTTCAGTTCTGATACCTGGAAGTGCAGACAGATCAGATCTCTTGGTTTTATAACTTTCTGGCAAATTGACAGTATACAATGGTGCCCCCAACCACAGGGGATATGTACCAAGACCTCCGGTGGATACATGAAACTGCTGAGAGTAGTGAGCCCTGTGCATAGCATGTTTTTTCCTTATATGTACATAGCTACCCTAAGTAAGACACAGTAAGAGACTGACAATCACTAACTACTGTACACTGTAATAAAAACTAGTGAATGTGGTCTTTCCTTTACTCTGGTGCCTGCATAAAAGTAGATGAGAGTAACTGAGAGCCATTACTGGTCATTTTGAAATAAAGAATGGACATAAAAAGAAAGTACCTCTATAAAGGCTGTATCACACTGCTGCTAAACTTGAATGTCTACTGAAAACCATGTACATCTAATAGACAAACCTGGCTATTTGCTTACATTTTTATGGTACTTATAGACGAATATCTCTACTTGGAATTATCACCTTTAAGTCATCCAAGCTAGAAGGCAGAGGTCCCGGCTTTCTCACAGGAGCAGACGTATTCTGTCGTGGTGTGTTGGGCATGGTATTGTTCAAAGATGAATTTCCACTGTTGTTATTTTTGTCATTTCTTCAAAAGAAAAAGAAAATTAGTTTATAATAACATTATTTCTAGGTTTGATATTGCTTCTCAACAGTTTAGCTTATGAAGGAAGGACCATGATTATACACTGGAAGACTCAATATTGTAAAGATGTGAGATAAGCTAGATTCTAATAAAATTCCTGAAGGTTTTGTTTGGTGGGAAGTTAAGAGGTGATTCTAAGCTTTATGTGAAAATGCAAAGGACTAAAAATGGCCATGACATCCTTGAAGAAGGAAAGCAGCCTGGAAGAGCCACACCCTAGTATTAATGTGTGTTACAAATGCAGTTATTACAGCGGTGCAGGGCTAATGCAAGGACAGAATAATAGGGAAATGAAAACCGTGAGCCCTGAAGCGCAGACCTCTGTATGCATAGCTGTTGAATTATCAGAAGGTAATGTTGCCAGTGAAAAGAAGATGCTCCTTCCAATGAATGGCGCTGGATATTCATACAGGGAAAAAATGGTCCTATCTTACATCATTCCCAAAAATGTGAATTATGAAAATCTTTTATAGAAAACTTAGGATAAAAAAAACACTTAGGATAAAACCTTCATGGCCTTTGGATGGGCAAAAATTTCTTAACCAGGACCCAAATAACACTAAATAAAAAAGACATCTTAAAGACAGTGAGAAGTCAAGCCACAAAAAGAGGATAAGGTATTGGTGATACATATTCTGAAAAAGGTCTCATACCTAGAAGATATAAAACTCTTACCAATCACTAAGAGAAAGAAAAAAATAATGGAAAAATGGGGTGGGGATAACAAAAAGTATATCCAAATGGTCAATAAATATGCAAACTAGTGCTTAACCTCATTAGGTAGGAGGAAAATGAAAAGGCATGTCACAAAATAACCTTGCTATCTAGCAGAACTGCTATAATATACTTTATTTTTTTCATTAAATTTATTGGTACATTTTATTTTGTTTTTTGTGTTTTTTTGGTACCGGGGATCGAACTTGGGTCCTTGTGCTTATATTGGTACATTTTAGGTGTACAATATGATGACATTCATCATTAGGAATTTGTACCTTTACATGATACATCTTTTTTTTTTTTTTTTTTTTTTTGATACAGGGAATCGAACTCTGGTCCTTGCGCTTGAGAGGCAGGCGGCAGAACCACTGATCTAAATCCCTGGCTACATGATATATCTTGGTTCTTATTTTTTTGCTATAATATACTTAGGGCAATCAGAACTCTTGTCACTGCTGGCAGAGATGTGATTTGGTATAGTCGCATGAGATGAATAATAGTACTGAAGAAAAAATGTGCCCATCCTATGACCCAGCAATTCCATTCCTAGGTAGACATGACAGGAAAACATACCTACATGTATCAAAGAGACAGATTAGAATACTTATGGCAATACTGATAATATCCCTAACTGAAAACTCAGCTGTCCATCAAGAGCATGATGGATATAGTTAGACATGGAATACTGACTAGAAATGAAAATTAACCATTGCTATTTGCATCAGTGAGGATGGATCTTACAATGTTCATCATAAGAAGCCAGAATTGTAAGGCTGCACATATCTGAAGTTAAAAACCAAATTGCACTGATGTATGCGGACAAATCAGGACAGACACTGAGAGGGGACTTGGCGGGGGGATGATATTCCATTTTTTTGTTGGCTGGTAAATATAGGATCAGTTTTCACTTATGATTTAAAGACTTTGGTGTAAGTTACATCTCAAATTGAAAAGTACATTTGGTGCATTAGCTGTCACGCTCTAAAGTGAGGTACTGTGTACTCATTTTATTAAGCTCTTTTCTATGTCAAAGCCAGATCTCTCCCTCAACTTCTTCCGTCTGGGATGCTCCTGGTGCCAACGGCATTTCCTGATGGCTGATACCTATGTGAGAATCACAGCTGGGTGAGCTTTCTCCCAGGCTCTAGAAGGCTTGCAGTTGAAGCTAATACTGGCTTTATTGGAAGTGATAGATATTTTTTGTTTGTTCGTTTGTTTTTGGTACCGGGGATTGAACTCAGGACCTTGCACTTGCGAGGCAGGCGGCAGAACCACTGAGCTAAATCCCCGTGCCTTGACAGTTAACTTTTCATGTTCATTTTTTTGGGTCTTTAAGTATTTAATGTAAGTAAAATTTAGGCAAGTTTTTAGCATCTTGGAGATGAAGTGTTCCAAAGTTTGGATGCAAGGATGTATCATTATTCTCCTTTCAAAAATACAACCTTTAAATCTCACATTAGTTACGAAAACATTTTCTTTAAATCAGTTTCTCAGCCTATTTTTCATTCATTATTGAACCCCTCCCCAACCAAGGAGACTCCTAGACAAATTTTTTCTGAATTGCCCTTCCCACACAGTTTAATGTCACAGATATATTGCATATGTTCATGTTCTCATGCACTGTATGTTTGCCTGTGTTTTATGTGAGTAATAGGCCCTGTGCTGAATCACCTTCTGCTCCCTTGTGAGTGACTGTCCCCTGGAGAACACGTGATTTAATTCTCCTATTCATGCTTTTAGTTGAGATTCTACAATATTTGTGACTATGATTTAGTGTTTATAATTAAACTTTCACAATACCAGAAATAATTCATTTTCACCCAAATTGAGAAGGAAAAAGGAGAAGGGAGCCTGTGGGTGGGATCACTGTGCAGATGAGAGACTGGATTTCTGGAGATTTCCATGTGTGTCAAGGAGGGTTTAACCAGAGCTCAGTCGCTTACTCCTTTCACGGTACCACAGGGCCACATAATAGAGCTTTTTACCACTGCTATGGGTACTACAGCAGTCAGTTTTTTGTAATGGAATTTCAATAAAGATAAACAGTGTTAGAAAGCCGAAGTCTAGATTTTTATGATTTGGAAACTAGAGAGGCTTATGTTCAGTCTTTAGGTGGTAAAGCAATACACACTCACACACAAAGTAAGTGTTCTTTCCTCCCTGTTTCTGAATTTTCCCCCCTGGACGGGTGGAGTGGGCAGTTCCTGTAGTGGGGAGGTGAGTGAGGAGGAGAGGGTCCTAGAGCCTCCAGGAGACAAGGCTGGTGGAATTCAGCTTACGTACCCTTCCTGTCTAAAAAGCTGGCTCCACACAGCCTAATTCCTTCTGTGGGATTTTCAGTTATACTCAGTTTTCCTAGACTCGGACGGAGGCTGATGGTGATCTTAAGTGTCAAGCATGTGTTGGTGCATCCTAAGTCATAAATAATTGTGAGACTCAGTTCCTGCTGTGGCTCCTTCATTATTGATGTCCAGCACCCAGGGAGGGTAGCAGTGTGGGGTGTAGCCTAGGCCCTGGATGAAGCTATAAAGTAGTGGCAGTTGTCTTGGACACTGTTCCAACTCTCTGTGGCCTTCCCTGGTTTCCTTCCAATGTTTAAAGCACACTCAGGCTTGCCTGCCCTTAAAACAATAACATGCTACAAAATTATTTCTCTTCATCTCCATACCCTGATATTTTAGATAAGCAGATCACAATAAGGTCTGAATTGCTTATAGGTTTAATCTTCCTCAAGATATTTGTATCTTAAGACAACAAAATGGATAATCGCTGACATATGAGGAGATATTTCTTCACAGAGAAGCTTTTTAGTGCATTTATATCCTTTGCTTCATCTAGAAAACATGGCATACCAATGGAGGAGGGCTTTAAGTACCAGTAGGAAACAGAAGTAGTGTCTATGTATCATGTGGCCATAAATTGAACAGTTTAATCAGAAAATAACTTTTCCTTATAATGACATCTGGCATCTTTTTCTAAGATTTCTTCTCTAGCGTCAGATGCAGATCTTACTTTCTCCTGGATAGTGAAGAAAGGGAAGGACAGGATCATTGTGAATCTGAGTTCCCAAAAGAGCATGTTGGGGACGTGTTTCCAGAAATTTCTTTACATAACTAAAATTAGCTATGGACGTCTTGCTATGAATTCAGTGACAGAACTCCGTCTGATCACTCATGTTTGAGCTCAAACTCTGGAAACCTCTTTTCCACAGTTATTGGGTACCAGACCTTCTGTCCCCTAATCAATGTCCTTTTGTCCTCATATATTTCCAAACTGTCCTTCACTGTTAGCATCCTGCTGTTCTTTCTAGCAGTTCAGTCTTGCCATATCACCACCATCCTCTGAGACACGCCACCGACTACTACATTTAGTAAAGTCTTTTGCCCAACTTCAAGTCCCTGCAGACACTGGCTCTAATCAGTTTTGTCTTCTCCTTTCCAAAAAAAATCAATGGGATTTTCTAGTCAGGCAGTTTTTCTCACCATCTAGTGCACAGGTACTGCTTACCTTTCCTCCCCACTAGGGCTCCTATCAATCTCTGGGCTTCCCAAGCCTTCTACTGGAAATGTCCTGCCATTTGCACACAGTTCTCCTTGACTACTCCTGCTTATATGCTCATCTCTCTTCTTTGTACATATTCATGCGTCTCTCAAAGAGTCGATTATTATTTTGAGTATACAATAAGCAAATGTTTCCTGAATGAGTAATTGTGAGAAGGCATTTCTAACTTATAAAAGCTCAAAACCTATTTTGGAGGACAAAAGCCGGATAGTAATGCAGGCCATCCTCACTACATGACCTCAAACACTGTGGGGGGAGCTTTGTTAACAACAGAATGAAAGTAACCACTGAGTACAGACAGATCACATCCGAGTAAGTCATAAAAACCACAGAACAAGGCACTTGAGACACGCATTGACCCGCCCGTACTTGGTCGGTGCTGGCAGGATGGCCTGGTAGTTGTAGTGTTGCTGCTGCTGGCTCAGGATCTGCAGCTGCAGGAAGAGCTGCTGCTGCTGGAGCAGGCGGGCGTAGTTGGAGTCCATCTGTGGCTCGTTCTTCTCACCTTTCTGATCCGGTGGAATGTACTGGTGGTACTTTAACTTCTTTACCCGGGGTTTGGGATCTTTGCACTTTTTGCTGCGGTGTTTGTCATTCGGATTCTTAGGATGGCTTTGCTATGTTTGAGAGGGAAAAAAGTATTTTAAGAGATGTTGTTCTGTGAAACTGATTCTGTGTGCCTCTCATTTGAAAATAAAAAGCAGTCTACCCTAGAAACTAATGTAGCTACTTTGGGAACCAATATATTAAATACATTTCAAAAAGCCATAAACACATTTGCGTACTTATTTTGACCAAGAAATCTCCTGCTACATTGTTCCCTTGGGGTACAGCAAGATGCTCAGCCTAGATTATCTATTCAAATTCAACAAACATTTACTTTTGGTTTCCTATATGGACACACTAATTGCTTACATGTATATCTCCTACTGAAAAAGAGTTTGCACACTATACAATAGGGAAAAGATTAAGTATATTTCACTAACTATGTAGTATTTAAAAAAATCTATTGAGAACATGGAAAAAACAGAAAAAAATGCTTCCAATGAGAATGAAGCAGACTATAAAACTGTCTCCAAGGAAATAACACTTGATCAGGTTGAGTTTCAACATTTTAAAAAAATACATTTTTACTTTTAAAACTGGACACCATGCATCCCTTGTCTTATGACTGTGAATCACATAACTTATCAGATAATTTTCTACATTTCTACTTTTCAGTATTCATATTATAAGACGGGCTGGGGATTTAGCTCAGTTGTTCCAACGCCTGCCTCTCAAGCACAAGGTCCTGAGTTCAATCCCCGATACCAAAAGAAAACCTGATGCCTGCCTCTCATATTATAAGATAACTTCATCTGAAAAAAAAGCCATCCAGAAAATACAGCACAAAACATAGGAAATTATTCTTAAGCTGCTTTGGGTAACATACAAATTAATGAAAAAGACGAGAAGTATTAAATAAAATGTAGTTACTGACATTCAATCATGCTACTAATTATGTTATAGATGCTTATATCCAAGGAATTAGACAACTGCAAAAAAACCCCTAAAACCCAAATCACCACAGCATGTAGAACAGAAATAAGCTATTGTACATTCTTTGTATGCACACGTTTAACATAATTGGGATGATGTCATATATGCTTATTAGAGATGTGTCTTTCTCCCTCTTCATGTGGTATGCTGTGAATTCTTCCCTTATCATACAAGAATGATGTGCAACACGATTTTCTATGGCTGCATTGTGCAACAATTTCTGGGCCAGTAAGTTGAGTCACGAGAACTGATTATGTGTATCTTTTCCCAGCTCTGCATTCAGTGATGTCACATGGGTAGCTGGAAATTGGTCACGGTGGGAATATTTACACCATGGGAACTGGCAAAGGCAGTAACTTGCCCTTTGACCCCAACCAAGTTGTTAAATGTTTACCAGCACACCACTGGAATAACAATTCACTTAACTAGTATCTTATTTTCTGAACATCTGTAAATAAGGATTTGTAAAGAGTAAATGTGTACTGGGGAGGATTTCTCCTCTCAACTTGACCACAGGACCTGATCTTCCTTCAGTTCTAAATTTACTGAGTATTGCAACTGTCCGCCCACTCCTTCCTTTCACTAACAATTGTCACTGTTCATGGTGACTAAATCTACATCCACAATCCTTCCAACATTTTGGTCTCTCAGTTCCTGGACTCCATTTCCTTAAGTTTCTCATCATCTCTCTTAGCCACTCATTGCCATGCTTACAACCTAGATCTTATAATTTCCTGAACTGTATTTTCTCAATTCCTAGCATCCTAATCTGACAACCACCAAATCACCCCACCTAGGATGCCACTTTCGGCACTTACTTGATGCCACTGAGACGCACAGCCCATTTCTCTTACCACCTTTACACTGACCCTCACTTCACTTCTACCTGATTATATTCCATGGTCCACTCACATGCACTGCCCACCCTTTGTCAAACTGACCTGGCAAGACCATATGCTGGTTCTGTTTACTTCAGGGTTCCACTACAGGGGCTCTCAGTGACATTTTGAAGTGGGAAACATTTGCAGGAGCTGTGCTGTGCCCTGTGGGACATTCAGCAGTATCCTGGCCTTCTGCCACTAGGTGCCAGTGGCCACACCCTTCCCCCACATTGTAACAACCAGGAATGTCTCCAGACATTGCTAAATGTCCCTGGGGTGGGAGTAGATTGCTCCTGTTGGTCTACTCCATGCCTGTTTTCACATAACTAAAGGTGCTGCAGGAAAACAAAACCATGCAGACAAGTTTGTCTTTAAATTCATGATCACCACCTTTAAGAGCTTATCAGTCCCACCTGGCCATCCTATTACATTTTTTTTTTTTTTTTTTTTTGTACTGGGAATTGAACTCAGGACCTTGTGCTTCCCAGGCAGGTACAGCACCATTGAGCTAAATCACAGGCCCCTATTACATTTTTTAATTTGTTATTTTCCTACCACCTCCTATCTTTCCTTCTCTCCTCAAGCCCTTAGTACCTCACCCTATGCTCACAGCAACTGATGACCTTGTCTCCTAAACACTGGACAAATAAATGAGTGCAGAGCTGAGCTTCTGGCCGCCCCCCTCCCCAAATGTTTGTGGGTGGCTTTCCTTCCTGTGGCTGCAGATGAACTACGGTCCAGCTGCCCTCCTGAGGCCATGCTCTCTCGCCCACACATGGTGACTGTTCTGGGAACCTTTGCCCCTCTCCTGGGTCCTCCCTATCAATTCACCAACATCCTTTCTTGACCTCCACATTTTAGTTGAGCTACAGACTCTTTTCTCGTGATCCTTTCCAATAGAGGTCATCAAAACAAGCTTTCTATGACGCCACCTCCAATTCTAGCTCTCTCTCTTTCCCCACTCCAACTAAGTTTTTGCCTCTACCATTCAAGAGCAATTGCTTTGGCAAGAAGTTCCTGCACTCCTCCTAAGAGATCCACAGCAGCAATGACACACATGACCTCTCCCTCCTGGAAAGGCCTCCCCTTGGCTCCCAGGTCCCATACTTCTACCAGATTAGCTGCTTTTCCCCAGGCTTCTTTGCTGGTCCTTCTTATCTTCCCAAAATGCTGATGTGCCTAAGGACTCGATTCTTGTACAGTGGACCCTTGAGTTACAACTGGCCTGACATGCAAACAACTTGGGTTACAAACCGAATTTTAGTTTTAACTTACAAAGTCTTAAGTTATGACCTGAACACCAGCCCCTTGTGCTTCCAGATGTCTCAGATACAGATTTAACCCTTAAAAAGTTCTGGAAGGAACATTACAGCATCTTTTCCTGTGTGGAGTTAATTGAGAAACCCTGTGCCAATGTCTGAGGACACTGAGATCTGCCTGTATACAGGAGAGAGACTTTGAGGGCTGTGTAGAGGAGCCTGAGCTTTCATTGACCAACTTGAGTTACAACCACCCCTCGAGAATGAATTGAGTTTGTAAGTCAAGGGTCCACTGTACTGCTTTTTTGCTACACTGAGACTGTAGGTAATTTTACTGGATTTTGTGGCATTCAAGCCTGTGAATATGTGATGACTACCGCATTTCTATCCAATTCTGGAGCCCTCTCCTGAGCCTGGCTCTTTCACCCAGCTGCCTTTAGAGCATCCTCAGTGGGTGTCTCTTGGGCATCTCACATTGCAGGTATGCTTCTTTCTGTCACAGAAGTTCGCAACTCCAACTTTTTAACTGCTTAGAAACAAAACAGTAACTGGTTCAGGATGACTCCTCCATGTAGTGCATCTAACCGGTCAGCAATCTTCTCCTTCAGAATGCACCCAGCCACTCTGGCTACTGTTCACTTCTGAACACCATCCCCTACACCACGGCTGCCACTGTCCCTTGCAGTGAGTGGCACCTTTATCTGGTCTGTGCTTCTCCCTTTGCTCTGCTACTGTCTCTAACACCAGCCCAAACCCTTCTAGCAGTTTCTCTTCTCAGTAGCAGTAACACGCCTAACTTCTCACAGGCTTGACAGTCTCTGGTCCTGGCTTGTCCTGGCTGTATGGCTTACTTTTGATCACTGGCCGTCTCTGGTCAGGTCATATTGTCTTCCATATTCAGAGACTCCACATTTCTGTCCAAATCTGGAGCTCCCTGCTGAGCCTGGCTTATGTGTTTTCTTCCCATAGATACCCTTATAGCTTGCACCGTCACCTGCTGGATCTCCACCCAAAAAGTGGTCAGGTGACACATGCAGATCTATTTAAAACAGAAAGCACCTCCTCTTGACTCCCCAGCAACTCCATTATCACATGACTCTTCACTCTATCATGCTTTTTACCCCAAGTGTGGGAATTTATGGTATTTTGTTTGTTGCTTCATCTACTCCTACTACCCAGAACAGTGCCTGGTACTGTGGAGGTGCTCAAAATATCTGTTATTTTGAATAAAAGAATGGTAAATGTATGTGTTGGTTAGAAATCACTGTAATGATGAGGCACTTTAAGTACATCTCACTAATGGGAAACATTCTTTTTTTTTGGGGGGGGGACCGGGGATTGAACTCGGGTCCTTGTGCTTGTGCAGCAGGCGGTGAAACCACTGAGCTAAATCCCCGGCCCCTCAAGGGGAAACATTCTTGCTTAAGCATACCTGCAAAATCCCATGATATTTCTGGCCATTGGCATTTGCTTATTTTATTATCAATAATAAATTTTACTTTAGTCTTTTTAAAACAGGGGTTGTGATAACTTATATTCAAAATGAGGTTTGAGAATAACTGTTACACACTGATGAAACAACAGTCCCAGCCACAATCAGGCAGGCATGTATTGTGGGAGGGTACACACACTCAAAAGTCAGCACTCCTTAGGCTAAATCTTGCTGTGACCTAGTGGCCTGCACATGTCTGTTCTGGTAAGTGAGCATGGGAAATAGCTTTCCTTATGGAAAAGCTGAAAGAATTATCTGCTCCATGATGTGCATCTCTTCTTTTTTATCTTGGCATAGTCCTAGGATTCCCTACTCTATCCCTGAATTTCACATTGTTAAACAATATTCCTTTCTCTAGAACCAAAGACTTTCTCGATGAAAGATGCTAGGAAACAGCAGAAATTTAGAAAACGGGAGAGGCAGGGAGCGAGTTTTCAGTATCAGCGGAGAACAGAAGGTTGGCATTTGCAAGTTCTTTTTGCCATTACTGGTGCATGCCTGGAGATGCTAGAAGAGGAGGGAAAAGCTGATTTTACTGGCATAGTTGCCGCCTGCCACTCCCACTCTCTGGAATTTCTGGCTCCAATGCTAAGCAATGGAAGATGGTGAAATTGGCTGATATGTGTCCTGAAGCCATGCAAACTCTGTTACATTGACAGCCTTCTTTCTAGGAAGGTCAAGGACAAGGACAGCTCTAGTGGGCAGACACAGGAGAGGAATATGCACCACACTAATCTGGAGGAATCACCTTTGCTTTAGAAGAGTGCTGCAAGAAGGTTAGACTAGAACTCAGGACACGGTGCCAGGGGGTTGGGGGGTGCTTCCTGGCCTTGTCACTTCTTAACTTTTCTGGGCCTCAGTCTCTATCTCTGAACAGTGGTGAGAGGATATCTAACTCTCTACGTCCTTTTTTAGTTCTAAAGCTATGTACTCTGCTAGTTTTAGTAAAAGTCACCTCTGAAATGACTATAAAGTGTAATCATTAGACTGTTCTTCAGTTTACTCTCCATCCATTTCATTTATGTTTTAGATACAGTTTCAAGAACTTCAAAATACCATCTTTTAGAACTTTTCTTCTTCCTTGGGATTTATTCTGAATTATTTTTACCAAGTAAAATATAGGGAACAGTGCCACAAACTGAAGCTTATCTGAGAACAATCCAAGCCTCATCTGGCCAAACCTACTAAATCGAAAAACATACTTGTTTCTCTAAACCCTTTAAACTGTCATGTATTTTGTCCTGGAATATGAGTGAGTTTGATCCTGTGCACAAAGTCTGGGACGGTGCTGTCAACACAGATGGCTGTTTGTGAGGTTTTCGGGCCTCAAGTGCAGTGCTGAAGCAACACCTTACTGTTCCCCCATTTCATCCAGTGCCCAATGGCAGTAAACTGTGCGCTGGTGACAGGAAGGTTCCTGAAAGCCTTGCTACACAGCCCAGCAGTTTTATATACAGGCCAAACTTTGTACACTCTTTTGGGGACTACAGGATGACAAGTCACGTGCTGAAGGAGGCAATTTCAAACAAAAGCTCCAGGCCAGCAAGTTTTCCACAGTTTAATTGTCAAGGGTTCTGGCTAAGAGCCAGGTTGGGCAACTTAAATCCCTGTCTTTGTCCACAGGCTTAGACAGTCACAAGTCATGTCACACAATGCTGTACCCCCAGGTACCCACCTTTACCAGTGTAGGGCTAGGCTTTGCTGAAGATACAGTGTTCGTGGGGAGGACAGGAGCTGTGGACCTTGTAGGAAGCTGATCCACATTTGGAGGAGTTTTCAAGAATTCAGGAACTGCTGGGGACACTGAAGTAAACTGGTAGAAGAGGCAGAAAAGGAAAATGTCTGTGAAATCAATGATAGTAAAAATAGAAAAACCAGAATTATAAGGGAATGACCTCATTTTTTAAAAGTTCACTAGAAAGGAAACAAATGAAAAATACGTTATTGTGTCCAAGACTCAGATGGTGGGAATAACATGCTTTACCTCCGTGGAGCCAATAATTTAAGTCTTTACCCCTGTAATGAAATGATGAGTAGCTGAAGCTAAATAAGGTTAGAGCCGCTCAACTGTAGTGTTTTCTCAGAAATATGGTCAGAACCACTCTTTTGGCAGAAAAAAGTCTAAGACTCATAAAAGCGATCAAAAGAATACAGGGTATTTATAGTTTCCTTGCTAAATAGGTCACACTAACCCTGGCTAATTCAAGCACGGTATTTAGTATTTGCTACAGAGCTGGATGAATCTTCTATTCGTATCCCACTCCCATGGCCGGGCAGCATATCTTGGTGAAGGATCCCTCTGCCCACAAATCCTGCATGTGCTGACAACTTATGCTCCTGTCTCCGAACTTGACTAGCACTCTCATTAACCACATCCCCCCATTTTGTGCAACAGGAGAAGTCGAAGAATACATTTTGGTGAGATTGACTTGTTTCACTGACAGTGCCACCTCCCTTAAAATGAGAGGCTATTTTCTTCCCAAGGTCAAATCAACAATGACCAAAGCTCAATTTGGAGTCATAGATTAACAAAGGAAGGCACAGGAAGCTTTACAAGGTTTTAACAATTCCTACTAGCGACCTATGTTAAAGCATCCAATTATTGGAAATAGGTATCTATTATAATAATTGAATGTTGTATTTTTATTATTTGTAATTAATCATTATCAGCTTTATCTTAAGGAAAAATGTCATTTTTTCACTTTCACTTCCCCAAACAACTTCTAAAGTATACCAACAATCAAAATCAGTTCTCTTGAAGTATTTGGGTTTTAAAATAGCAAACTGTATTTTTTCCTCCTTAAAATAAATGACCTGAAAACTCAGAGGACTATTAGCAGCAAGAAGTATGAAGATTGGCGCATACAGTTACTCAATAAATATTTGCTTAATCGATGAATGGACATTCCTGCAGCTTTACGCAGCCAGGTCACGGTTTCAAGCCCAGCCAAGACTGTAAGTGCCTGAGCCTGCACCTCATTGTGCTTACCCGCTCAGCTTTCTCCTTGTAGTTTCTGCCACTGATTTCAGCTTTTAAGTAGTTTTTTGTAAGTACTAAGGTGGCTGTATTCAATTTCATTTCGAACAGAGGTGACGAGAAAGGATTCATCTGAGAGACTCAGCTCCCATGTTCCAGGCAGATTTCTGTTCTCCAAGAGCCCTGCGATACCTAGTTCCTTGACAAACCTCTGACTAACCAAACTTCACAAACCAAGTGACAGATGGTCACTTGTTCATGGGATATGACTGATGTTGTTTTTGTCGTCTTTTACCTTGCATATTTTTTGGATATGAGGATATTTACCTCTGGGTCAGTTTTCACAGAGGGAAAAAACATTCCTTGGTTATTATATAACTGATACCTAAAGAAGAAACAAACATATGCATTTTGAACTCTAACTGGGCAAGTTATCTTTACCAGCACAGGCCTCACTGACAGCAATGATGAATCTGACAGACAGCAGTAAGTGTTAATAGTAAGTATGGATGTGGTATCAACTGTAAAGCCTGGAGTCTTGCCTTGATTCCTGACGCTCTCATCTTATTAGCTCTTTTTCGGTGTCACTCTGCTACTCAGAAAACCACAGACTCCAGGATAACACAAGAGTAACTCAAGTGAAATACAGGGATTATTAACCTTATCTAATCTGAGGATAAGTTCTAATTACAAATAAATATCTAAATTTTTGTTTACATTTTGTTAGCCTTTTTAGTGTGCCTTAGGGAGGATGAAAAAACAAAAAACATCCCCTTTGGGAGTTAAGCTACTACTGGCTGAAGTTACAAAAGTAATCTAAATACTAGTAATTCTGAAATGACAGTATTTTTCCAAAAAGGATTAAGAGCATCCAGGCCATAAAGTGTACAGTAGTACTTGGTTCACGAACTTCATGGCTGCAAACTGAACTGGATGAGAACTGAATCAAACTCAATGGTTCGATTCAGTATTAACCTTATAGGAAACTGATTTAGTTCTCATCCAATTTGGTTTGCACCCAGAAACATGGAAAGAATTAAGTTTGTGAACTGAGGTACCACTGTACTTACTTTATTCCACAGTAAACTGAGAAATATGTTAAAATTTTAAAAAGAATATTAGGTAAATATGTTTAAATTATTATGAGTTCACCTTATATACTATGAAAATTTAATTTCAAAATGATTGAGAACTATTTCTCAAGAGAAACAGGTGCAGACTTGACTGTCTTACTGGAATTAAGCACGGTTTCTACCACAAGTTTAGGCCTTTATTTCTTTTATAGTACTGGGGGCTGAACCAAGGACCTTTGCACTGATGTATATCCTTAAGGCTCTTAATTTTTTTTCCTTTTTTTTTTTTGGTAGCAGGGATCAAACTCGGGACCTTGCGCTTGCGAGGCAGGCGCAGGAACCACTGAGCTAAATCCCTGGCCCTAATACTTTTTTTTTTTTTTTTTTTTTGGTACCGGGGATCAAACTCCGGATCTTGCGCTTGTGCAGAAGGCGGCAAAACCACCGAGCTAAATCCCTGGCCCCCTTTTTCCTCTATTCTTGCCAAGTTGCCCAGGCTGGTTCCAACTTGCAGTCGGTCTGCCTCAGCCTTCCAGAGGGCCAGGATTATAGGTATCCACTATCACTCCTGCTGGAATTGTTTAATTTTCATTAAAACACCATAAGCCAGAAAAGTGTTATTTAAAGCATAAATACCCATCACTAAACAAGACTTAAAAGAAGGGAACTTCAATCTTGAAGACTGACTCTTCTCTTATTAGAAACTGCTATAAGAAAGTTGTGCTACAAGCTGGGTGTGGTAGCAGATCCCTATAAACCCAGAACTTCAGGAGGCTGAGATAGAAGGGTTGCAAATTTGAGCCTAGCCTGGGAAACTTAGTGAGAACCTGTCTCAAAACAAAACAACAACAACAACAACAACAAAGGGCTGGGGATTACAGCTCAGTGCAAAGGTCCTGGGTTCAATCCCCAGTACCACAAAAGTTCTGCTACAATAGGAAAAGTAAAAGAGCAAATGTCTAAGCTGATTAAAGTTGGTAATGTTGCATGGGTCTGCATGGGTTCCTTTCTTCTGCAGCCCATGGTCCACTTGACAAGGACTAGTTATTGTTCCCGGGTAAGCTCTTTATTTTAATTAGTTCTTTGTGCAATTTTAAAAACAAGGATTTGTACGTTGTAGCTTTTAAAACTACAGTAGTGGATGTGTTTTAAATTTAGAATGCAGCAGAGTTCTTGATTAAGAAAACCACATGCAAATAAAAGTTCAAAATGTAATTATTCTTTAAATATAGTTTCCATATTTAAATCTCCAGATAAAACAATGAATGAGCTAAATACAAACCATGCTTTATGTTTAATAGGTGGATGTTTTACGTAAAATTCCATCTTTGTTAAAATGTGTCACCTAGCATGGATCACTTATTTCTACATAAATATCTCATTTTTTAGGATAACTAGTTGGACATTAAAATCTATAGGACATTCAGTCAGTCATTGATTACCTGATTAACAGAATTTGCATTTACTATTTTGACCTTAAGTGTACACTAGTGTGTGTGTGTATATATATACGTATATATACACATACATACGGACATTTTTCTGCAAACATCATCACTATCTCCAGATGTTTTCATGTTCCCAAATGAAACTCTGTATCCATGAAACAACAGCTTCCCTTCTCAGCCCCTAGCAACTATAATTCTATTATTTTCACTACTGTATCACATATGTGGAATCATACAGTTTTGTCCTTTACTGATGGCTTATTTCACTTAATATAATGTTCAAGATTCATTCATACTGTAGTATACTGCAGAACTTCCTTTTTAAAAACTGAATTCTATTGTGGATATAAAGAGCATTTTGTTTATCCATTTGTTTGTCAATGGATTCTTGAGTTGCTTTTTCCTTTTGGCTATTGTGAATGCTGCTGCTATGAACCTAAGGTTTCTATATTATTTGGCAAGAGGTCATACGCCTGAAAGTTACTTGACATAATATGAAAAAATTAGGTTACCAGTCTCCCAAATTTGTCTTCCTGAAAATATGGAGTAATCAACAAAGTTCCTTTTAGTTCTGCTGGGCTTTGAAAATGCACATAAATCCCACTGAATCATGCTTCCAGTTAAGCATCATGGTGTTTATAATAAGTGATTAATTGAAAGGCTTAAGAAATTGCTGAGAGAAGAGTCCAGATTGAAGAGATCTGGTATCATATATGGCTGGCTATTCTTGATTTTCTACTTACTATTGTTCAAGAGTTGATTCAGCATAAAATAAGTTGTGCTCCAACTTGTGATATGTGTACCACTAATACTTTGATCAGAACAGAAGAGACAAATCCAAGGACAGTTTTAGTCTTTTCAAAGACTTTTTCCCTAACATTGTGAGGTCATTAGCATTTTAGGTTTCAAGAGAAGTGCCTGAAAAATTGGTTCTATAGGTTAATTCTTTTTTGGGAAAGAGGGAAGAAGACTTTTTCATATATGGATAGTTTTATGTAGAACCTAATCCTCATGCAGGTATCTGTTCTGAAAAAAGAATTAAGGAGGCTATTTATCATAAAGCGTTTTGGAATAAAGCAAGACAAATCTTGAGCCTAACTGTTTCCTTAACTTATTATCTGTAGATATAACATTCATTCATTTATTTGAGGCAGGGTCTCACTATGTAGCCCAGGCTGGCCTCGAACTCACAGCAATCGTCCTGTCTCAGCCTCCCAAGTGCTGGGATCACAGGTGTGCGCCACCATGCACGGCTGATTGTAGATATAACTTTTTTTTTTGGTACCAGGGATCGAACTTGGGACCTTATGCTTCC